CTTTTATGTTCAAGTTAATATAAGGAAACCTGAATCAAGCAGTTACTGTAAAGGTCAGAGGGACTCTGTCTAAACAAGGAGATAAGAACAACTTAACAGTAATGAGACAATTCAATGCACATTAAGGCTGCTCCAATATTCTTGATACTTGGAAATTGTTTATTTTAATAAGTATTTTAAAGATCCCATCTTATTCACTGGTTTAACATAAGCTCTTCATCATAGCTTTCCAAGTACTGCCTAGATTCTTGTCCAAACAGCTATATTTTGAGCTGCCTGCCAAGTTAGTGAGCTCTCCTTTCGCTTGATTTATAATCATCGTTCTCTGTGCACTTGCCAAACTATTCCTTATAATCCCAAGTGATGGTCCTCTTTTCCCTGGAGGAGCAAAGTGAAGCATAGCAGCTTACTACATCGTAGTCAACACTGACCATCAAATGAGCTTCAAGGTGGGTACTAGCATCGTCTCATGACCTTTGTATAGAATATTCCTCATCTTTCCTGGAACATGCAAGGTAATTGCTAATATCCCCATTTACGGATTGAGGAAACTGAGGAGAAGTTAAAAGTTCATTTCCCACTAGTAAATAATGAGCAGTAAAGCACAGAACCAAGCTTTTTACTAGTTCCAAAGGCCATATTCTTTTAAAGTTATTATGCTGCCTCCTTACTGCTCTATGGAAATCGGGAGTAAATAGGTAACACTTTGGGGCACCATCCCTCTCTGTGTCTACTTGAGTAACTCAATGGAACATTTCCATCTTCTCAGGACAACAGTTGTTTGTGCATCCTAACTTTGTATTTATCCCAAAGTTATGGATTCCCACTTATTTGGCATCAGGAGAGACTTTGTTTATAATGAAGATGTAAAAAGTTCTGAGTGTTCTGTAAAAGTAGTTGCATCAAATTTTTCAGTTTTTCCAAGTGCAAAGCCATCAGTTTACCTGGTTATTGTTGGTTTTTAATAGGGGCGGTGGTGGTTCATGATGTAGAGGTGAAGAAGCAGAACTGCTCTCACTGTCACTGCCATCACTTAAACTGACCCTGAAAAGACAGAGAGAGGTCAGACGCATCAGTTAAAAAGCAATGGCTCTTGAAATCCCGTTGGTAATGGGCACAAAGAGGAAGGAGCCCAAACTCTAACCACCAAAAAGCTCATTTTCAACAACAGTTGACAAGCATCACAGTTTATTTTGTGTCTGAAACTGCGTCAAGTGCTTTACCTTCAATTTCTCACTTAATCATCCCCTATTTTCAGATGACACAACCAAGACTTAGAGAGACTATCACTGGCCTGGGGTCACAGAGGTGGATCTAGAACTCAGGCCAAGCAATCTGAACCTAAAGCTAGTGCCTAGTCACTACACTGGTGCCATTGATCCATTTACATCCCTCTTCTGGCTCCATCTTCCTACTATCATCAAACATGCTACCCAAGCTTGCAGAAGGTCAACAAAATTTGACAGTCTGTAAGTTACTACCTTTCATTCTCCTTTCTCTTGTCACACTGCTACCAAACCCAAATCCCTGCCATTGAGTCAATTCTGACCCACCTTGACCCTATACAGGGTCTCTAAGACTGTACATCTTTATGGGAGCAGACAGCCTCATTATTCTCCCTCTGAATGGCTAGTGGGTTGAACCACTGACCTTACAGTTAGCAGTCCAATGCTTATCTCACATCAACACAGAGGTTCCTTGTTATGGTGCTACAGACAAAAATTAAAATGACACATCTGGCTAAGATACAGGCTGCAAAAGTAGAAGCAACTGCTAAGAAGAACGTGGACAACAGCCTGCACCACTGACAGCTCCGGATGACATGTTCTTTTCCGATTAAAATGGAGTTTCCTTGTAGCCAGAGTAGGAAATACTTCTTTATTCGACTCTGCTCAATGTCTGCCTTCCTTCTGAAATGTCCTTCAATGTTTTGTCTCCTCTCGCTGGTTGTATAGCAATCTAATAAAATATTCTTCTCAGAACCAGAAAATGCTTTAGAAATCATGAGAGTTTGTCTTTCAGTCTGAGCAGGCAATCACATTCGTGCTGTATAATATATTCTGATAAGACAAGTTACAAGATACAAAATGCAAAGGACACACTAGGGCATCCTTTTAGCAAAAACTGATGGAACTTGTTTTCTTAACTAAATTACATTAATGAAGAGTTCAGCTGAAGTGCCGTTTTAAAATGCTTCTTGACTGAAGTGGAAGACTGAGTATTTAAACTGATTAAGCCGTTGAGACTTCACGAGTGCATCCGAGATCAAATGCTACACTGGTACTGTCGTACTAACAGCACACGTCAGAGGCAGGGCAAAGAAGAATGTCTCCACCAATCTATCAGACAGCTTACAATGTGTCTCATCTGACCAACACTGACTCTGGGGACAGGGCAGGAAGTGGGTGGGCAGCAGCTAATCACAGAATACCCAGATCCTCTAAATGACTGCAACTTGGGAATTTTCGACATAAGTCATACATTTTTTATCAGCTAAATCTGAGATCAGTCAGTGGATAGAATTTTGGCTGGTATAAACAAACTCCCAAACTTCAAGGTTCCGTCTACTTTTAAGTCTTCTTGGCCTACCAATTTCCTTCCTGTTAGATTAAATACTTCTAAAGGAGGCATTGTAAGACCAAGGCCATATGTTTTCTAGGTGAGTTTGTGAGAAAGAGGTGTTGAGTATAGTGATAAGGAAGAGTTGTGAGATCTCGGCGCATGCCCTGAAGAGGCTCTGTTCAAAGGAATTCCCAATTAGAAAGCACAAGTCTATCCAGTTTGGGTTAAGATAGCATTCTTTTAAAGAATTTTAGGGCCCTCTACACAGTAATGGATAATGGGAAAAGATCTAATGCAATCTATTACAAATGTAATTGGTTTTAAGTTCAAGTAGGATGATTTTTTTTTCTACTCAAACCACATTAAAATAAGCATGCATGTCTTATTTGTTTTCCTCATGATAAAGAAATGAAATCCTCAAGGCAATTTCAACTTGACTATTAATTATAAGTGACATGAATTACCATTTTATAATGTGGAATTATGCTTCACAGCATTAAAGCTACTTAAGGAATCTAATTGTCAGCACACTTAAAGGGAATTTCTTTGCTGGAAAACACACACAGGTGATGCTAGTTTTAATTAGGTCACACACAATTCACTGAAGCCAATTATGTATTTCAAACTGCAAACAGCAAACAGCACCTCTTCAAACTCTGAGACTACCTTCAGCCACGGATCTACACACACTCTTCAAAGAACAACAGACCTTAATTTCAGGAGTCCTGCCAGCTGCATAGACTTTCAAGAATAAGGGCTTTTAATGGGACTTTGTCCTATATATAAAGTTTCCCTATAAAATCTGTCCTAACAAAAGGAATGAATCGTTCCCTACAGAGAGGTTAAGTGTGAACACGACAAGGCATCCAGGCTCCAAATGAGTGTGCCCATATCAATGCCATGGTCTCTGGCATTTTAGTCCTTTGCTGTGATGACACAGGTGGGTCTAGATGAAAAGTGCATCTCTATTGCAAGGAGCCCCTCTTCTCCTGAGACACTCACCTGCGACTTCGACTGCCGGCTCTATTTACAGGTCTCTCCATTTCAGAATCATTGTCATTATCCTCTGCCTCATCCGACTCTTCCTCGTTGTCATCGGAATGCAGATCTTTCATTATAGACCTTAAAGGACCTGCGTGACGACATTGAACCACAGACAAACACACTATGTCAGACTTGGGGAAATACTTACTAGCCACCTCTCCAATGATCATTCATTAAAAATAATCATGATCCACACACA